CGTGTTGGTCTTGTTTTCTGCACATAAGTCACCTTTTAAATGATGTGTTGATAATATGAATGTATGGCTGTACAGTAGAAGGGTTAGTGTGGACATTTTGAAAATCACATCAAAAACGTCCTCATGTTTCAAACTCCGCTGCCTTCCTCACTTCACTCTCTTCACCGTCACAGGAGGAGCACAAAGCTCCACAGTGAATTGTTCCACAAGGACGTTCTTTACTGTACAAGACCCTCCTGGACTGTACTGTAACCGTGCAGCATTTATGATGGTCTCCATCGCCATCTGGTGGTAGATATTTGCATAGAGCAACGAGGTCAGCTTGAACTGCAGCCAAAGCTCTGACTCTGTTCCTGTCAGCTACAGGGAGAGAGGGAGAGAGGAGAGAGGGAGACACAGAGAAATTCAAGTTTGCCTTTTACAGTTTAGCCCTCGTCCAAAAATAACTCTGCGTTTTCTGATATGATGTCACGCTGCCTTTTTTTGTCTGATCCTGACATGTTTTCTAACATTCACACCAGTCCATAGGGTCAGCGTGCTGCGTGCACGTGTTCGCCCAGAGTCTTGCGTTGTTTGGGCCCGGTATCTCCAGATGCTTTCACCAGTGCGAACCAATTAATTAACTCAGTCTCACATCAGATAACTATTTCCCCATTGCACTGCGGTGCTACATAAACATTCCTCGGTAAACAACAACCAATCCCACCCATGTTGTGAAAGAGGCCACATATTATGATTCAGACGTGGCTGATGTTTGTGGGCCTGCCTCGCTCGCTCGCTCGCTCGCTGGCTGACTGGCGGCTCTACCCGCTGGGCTGATTGCTGCAGTATATTCCACTTCTTGACGAGCTTCTGGCGGTTTCTCTGGCTTCCGTTAATTTCCTGGAATGTATTTCTGCTGGTGATTGTTGTGTCACGTTCAATCTTCACTCTGGCCCTCAGCGGTCACTGTGTTATAGTCGTAGGATTGACAAGTAAATGGAATGTGTGTTTTTTTTTAAAGTGGCGCGCCGTGAGCCAGAGGTCAGATCTCGTATATAGAAACGCACGCAGCCCAGCGCTGCACTCAGAGCTGCACTCAGAGCTGCACTCAGAGCTGCCCTACCTTTGTGCACAGTCTGGAGACAAAGCCCTCAGCCCTTGAACCGGTTGCTGAGGCCTCTTCTCACTGTTTCTGTATAAGGCAGTATTTTGGCTGACACGCAGATACAGGAAACAGAGATCAGCTGCTCAGGGCATGTGATTTTTTTTTTCCTCATCTTTGCTAACAATTTCTTGTAAAGAGAACCACAAAGTTACAAAGAAGGTGTGATCAGAGGAAGGCGGTATAGCAGAAGGAAGTGGCCGCCTGCCACTCTGTCAGCATATATAGTCTGTGTTGCAAGGTTGTCACGGCACTGTAACTATGGTTCTTGCAGAATGGCATCAAAGGAGAAGGACTTGAACTGTGAACGAGATAGAAAGACGCGGCGGTCTATGAGGCCCAGTGGACAGACAGGAAGTGCTTGACCAGAAAAATGCAAACCGTTCTATACGAACGGAACAGAAGTCAATGCAAAGGAAACACTCTAAGATGTCATCCAATTTAGTGGTAAATTGATGACAAAGCATGGCTGGGGGACGATGCGTGAGGAGGACGTGCAAGTATGGCCTGCAAATCTAGGTTAGGTTTAGTTGACTGGTTGTCATGCACATAATCAGCATGACTCCAGAGTCATAAGTGCCGAGTCATCAGAATGTGCACGATTGGATATAGTTGCGATATACGCTACGTTAGCAGCTTCTCACCAACCTCCCTGTTACTGTGTTCATTCAAGTATTGATTTGACAGCAGGCTCAGTGGCAGCCATGTTGAATCATCTCATGACCTGGTGCTTCCTCCCTCTCTCTCTCTCTCTCTCTCCCTCCCCCGTTCTCTCTCTCTCTCTCATAGTCCTACTCACAGGGCTGCAGGCCCGGAACCACACCATGAAATATTTTCCCAAATTAGTCACTGACTCTTCCGTTAATCACCTCCTTTAGGAAGAAGTGAAAGTAACAATGCAGAGAAAAGTATGCCACACCTAATGGCCCTGCACACACACACACACACACACACACACACTGCACAATCTTGCATCAAACTTTCCTGAAACACCCGAATCAAAAATTCTATTAAGCTGTGATCCTGTAGTTTCTGACATATTTGATCATTGTTGGGTTTTTTTTAGCTCAAACAATCACTGTGTTCCATTTTAGATGTGGAAAAAAGATATGACATAATTCTAAATAAATCTTTCCTAGAAAGCCGATATTGTTTGAAAGAACCAAGTGAAGAGCTTTAGCAGATTTGGAAGCAAAAAAAAAAACTACATAAATAGATTTTTTAAAAAATCCCATTCTCTCCTGTAACAGTCAGTTAAAATAAAGGAAAGATTGAGTTCAGAGATTAAAGTGTTTATCTGTTCAAGATAACATGGGCTGATAACTGAGCCTGTTCAACAAGCACAGTCTTTCTGTCCATACTCTGTCTCCATGTACACACACACACACACACGCACACACACACACTCACACCCGCTGCAAAGCCTCTGGTGGGCCTCTTTAGGAAAGTCCCCAGATGCCAGACAGACAGACTGGGAGGGAGGAAAGTGTTGTGAGGTCACCTGGCTTGGTGGCGCTGCTGTTGCTCCTGCAGCTGACCAAACCAAAATTCTCTTTTCACCTAGTCAGAAAGCAGGTTGCAAACAAGTGGCTCGGGGTTCACAAATAAGTCCATGGATCACCCGCAGAGGGTCACTGGTGTTTTTTTGTTTTTTTGTATTGTTTTAAAGAGGCCTGGAGTCTTATTCAGCAACTGCAGTTACATGTCACCTTCACGGCCTTGTTATTTTATGTAAACAAGTGGTTTAATTAACATTTTTGTCCTAACTCTCTCTCTCTCTCTCGGCCCTCCACCTTCTGCCCCTCTCTGTCCAGGAATGGGAACTGGTGGTGTTGGGGAAGTTGAAGTGGAACTTGGCAGCGGTGACACCAAATGACTTCATTGAGCACATTGTGAGACGGCTGCCACTGCCTGAGGATAAGCTGGCACTTATTCGCAAACACGTCCAGACCTTCATCGCCCTCTGTGCCACAGGTAGGACATGGCAGGGCTTTAATGTCCAATTTCTTTTCTTTTTTTTTTCTTTTTTACATTTTTCACTCCCGAGTCATTTAAGTGATAACCATTACCTGCAGAGGGGTAAAAAAAAAACAAGTCCAAAACATGGAGGACAATTTAAGCGTTAGACACTTATGTCTTATGTCCGTCGTTTGTCTTCCCTCCGACTGGTATGTGGTCGTGTTTGAGAGGCGTATCAGTGGCTCGCAGAGCATCCAGTGACACTTCAAAGCAGACTTAGCCTGGTTGAGGGGCATTCCCATGTCACACAGGGTCGGGAAGAGGAATGGACAGGGGTGGAGGCAGGCACGCCATTGTCTCTCCGGTCTTGAGGTGAATTGTTCCCTCAAGATCAAACATCCAGCGAGTCGTGGGAGGACCAGGGAGCCCTTAACCTGATCTGGAGAGATGGGTTAGCGGAGATAGAGGAAAGAAGAGAGGAGTCAGAGAAAGGCAGAGAAGTGTATTGTTTTTGCGCTGGCAATTCTAAGGCATGTCATGTTTTCATATTTCTCCTCCCCCTTTTCCCCGCAACCAACTTCTCACGCCTCCCCACCCCACAGCTGGAGGACATGATAGCTTTCCCATGTTGAGTTCCCATGTTGAGATTCAGTACAGGGCAGGTTTCTCCTGTTTGCGTCACCTCCATCCAAGCCTCAAATGAGACAGAGAAACCAGACCCTTGCACCGTGACACGGTTATCTTTTATCATTGTTATCTTAATCATTATTTATGATTAATAAAAAGCTCCCTCAAACAGATATGCCAACCACAAACACTCATGGGAAACGGCTCATTGTGCTGCCGGTATGTGTGGGGAGATAGATGTGTTAAAACAAGGGAGGTGACAGGTATTTAGCACACAAAAGAATGGAATCCCTTGCAGTGATTGTGCAATGCATTTGAAAGGGTGAGAAAACTTTGCAACAAAAGTTCACGTTGGAGGAGAAACACTTGTATTTCTAAAAACCTCTTCTACTCCCTTTTTTTTTTCTCGATCCTGCCTCGCTATCAGTTGCTCTCGCCCCACATCTCTCACCCCTCGTTTTGTGCCAGCGCAGTAATGTGAGGAATGACAGCGTGTCAGTGATCGGACCAATTCCCAAAGCAACATTGTGAAAGACCCAGCGTGCACTTTGTCCTTAATTGCTTCAATGAGGCAGTGGAAATAAATTTATGAGCCTCCAGGAGTCGTCCTCCTGCCATCGCGTTTCAGAGGAGAGACTTCTCTGGAGTTAGCGCTGGATTAGCAACAGGCCATTAATCTGTGTATACTCTCCTCAGACATGTATCCAGGCAAACACAGAGTGAGGGTAAGTCAGAGACCGAGGGAGCGAGGGTGAGTCAACAGTTCGGTGCATCTGAACATCTCTGGGAATTCGAAACCTCGTTTGTGGAACGTTCCCAGCAGTAAATCTTTGGGGTTATCTGCCCAGGATCCTCCTCGAGCGTAGCTGAGAGAAGGTAAAGACGCGACAGAAGGTGGAGGTCTCTCAGGAGGATTTACGTCCGCAGAGACATTTGACAACGGGTCACCTGTGGCCCCGGCTATTTCACACGGGCCTTTCAGGCCGCCATCCGCCCGCCACTCCCTCCACTGCACCCCGTGTATTGCAAAAGAAAACACACATAAAAACCGCAGCTCTGTGTTTTCAAAGGAACAAGAGGGAGAAGTGGGGAATAAGGCCTCTCGTTCCTAATGGCTCCTCTCTTTTGATGAAACAGTTCCGTTCGAGCCACTCGGTGGGATTTTGTCAGGTGGCGCAGGCTGGCTCTGTATTAATTAATAACATTGGCCGGTCCATTCACAACTATGCAAATGGCTCAGGGGTCTCAGCTAGAGGCTGAGAGAAAGGAGACAAAAGGCCCGGCCCTTACATTTCATATGCAGAACCATGCGAGGGTCAGCGCTGCGGGGCCACTTGATAGGAAACACCAGTGGTTCCCCGAGGCAGACCGCCAGATAATAGCCCAGAAACAAGCTCATTAAGGGAGATTATCAGCCTCCATTCCTACACACAGACACCAAGCACTCCGAGCTTCCTCTTCCATTATTATTCAATGGAGGTAAAGTGGGAGAATGGACGGGGTCTACGGGGCAGACAGATGCACCCCAACCTATCTTCAGTAGTTACTGAGCTCCTCGCCATATTGGAAGGGATTAAAGTCTACTCTTTTTTTTTGTAAGGACCGCTTACAGCTTTCTGTAATGCTATGCATGGAATGGTGACAATAGTTATAGAACATGAGCAAAAGAAAATTCTGGAACATGACCAGCGCCGTGCGGCAATAAAGAGGTGATTGTCCCCCATGGACACAAAAGTGATATGGATACAAGTTACAGAGCTGGGAGATTAGCTGGTTAGTTTAAACTAACCAGTGACTAGATAACAAAGACTCTGTCACCAGGGTGTTCAAGCAGTTCAAGTTTGTTTTAAAAAAATTAGGCAAGAAATGGCTGAAATTTAAGTTATAATAATATAATAATAGCTTCTTTTTGGCCGGGCTAAATAAAGATGTTTCATTTTAGCTCATTGATAAAGCCACATACAGTAGATACAACTAGCATTTTAGTAAGATATAGCAGGAACAGCTTAAAGATTGAGCAGAAAATATACATATTAGCAAAATAGTAACTAACATTTAGACTAAAAATTGCCAATAAAAAGCTAAAGATTGGCTAAAAAAACATAGGTAGCTCAAATAAAGTTCCATGTAAGTAAAGTCAATTAGACATCCTGAGCTAAACTAGCAAAATGTGGCAGAAATGAACTACAAAATATGTCAGAAATAGGAAATATGTAGAAAAAACGTTTATGAAAAAAAAGGGCAAAAGTAAATAAATGCCACTAAATTAGACAATCTACAGGATAAAGGTTAAAGGTTAAATATTATTCTCTAATATGTGATACATGATCCATGGTAGCAGTTATACACTTCTGTGCTCCATCAACTTTAGTGACCTCTCCGACGTAGATGTTGAGTTTCACTTTGACTTTAGGCAGGATCGCCGGAGCTTCCTGGCCAAGTGACTGCAGCATGAAGAATCCCCTCCAGCCACGGCCGAGGCACACTGGGGACGAATGATCCGTCTCAGATGTGGTCAAAGAAAAGGTCTTTACTGGTGTTTGTTGACATAAAACTCCCTTCATGTTTGATGAGTCAGAACCTCGACAAATTACCCACCGCATCCAGCAAATTATCATCCCTCATCGTCAGGTCCGGTCCGGGTGTACAGTCAACAGATGAGGCAGGAAGACGCTTCCTGACAGTCTGTGCCCAAAAATGTGAACGCCAGTGAGTCACTGAGTGGCATGTCCTGAGTTTCCCTCCCCCGTTCACCTTTCTGGTATAATCAGCACCACACTCTAAATACTGTGGTCATCTGAGTCACTCCAGAAACACTAAAAAGAGAGATTTGTCCTTCTTTGGAGGCCGCGGAGATCCCACTAGAACAGTCTGGGAATGCAAACTTACATGTTTAGGTTGGAGTCCACATTAGAGCTCTGCTGTGTAATACTTTTGAGGGTTGTTGTTTTGTTTTTTGGCCCAGTTTGACAAACGTGTTGGCATCAGCAGTGGGAGAGACGTTGGGTTTGAATCCAGTTACTTTATCAACAAGAATTTGATAAATGTTTTTAGTCGCTACATCTTAAAATTGCTGGTCAATCGATGACCCTTTGAGTTGTCACCTGTTACCGCAGACCGCAGGGAAATGACAGCCGGCGTTAGCATTTAGCATTTTGCCCCTAAGAAACATCATGTTGTTTCAGCCGAGGTCACTGTAGTTCATCCACAGACCGAGACTAAGGAGGAAGGAGCAGAGGAGTCCTCTTGTTTTAATCTGACTTTCACATATTACTAATGGTGAAGCGGAGGAGGACATTGTCGGGACACAAGCGTTGATACAATAGCTCTATTGAACACACCTTTCTGAACAGTATTTGAACCGTACATAACTGCAGTTATCAGGTTGACTCAGTATGACTCAGACTCTCCCTCGCAGGCTTTGTTTTCCATTTGTCTCCAGAGTGACAGAGTCTGATACAAGACAAGAGTGTAATACGATGATAGCCCAGTGGAGTTGTTACCTAATCACTGATCTCCTCTGTTACACGTGGACTCACTCTGGAAATCCAGTTAGGAAGATGTTGTTTGTGCATCTTGCAGAGCTCCGTGACGTGGACCTTCCCAGTAGCCCTGCGCAGACGTGTTTTGACCAGCAGGGCCGTCGGTGGACAAGCTCAGTGTCATGCCAATTTCAAAACGATGTTTGTTTTCGGCCCTAATCAGTCAGCGGGCCGTGGGTCCTCGTAGAGCTGCTGGTTTAATAAACAAGGCCAATGAGGCCTACACGTATAGAATACAAGACCCTGATTTATAGCGCTCAAGCCGGAGGAGTGTGTGTGAAAAGGAGAGCAATTTCTTTCCTCTTTTGGCCGTTGTTCAACTTTCCAACTTTAATTAATTTACAAGTTTAATGTGCATACTGTGCATAGCAGCCACCCAGGAGGAGTGGGCCATGTAGGGAAGCGGAGTGTGTGGACCGGAGTCCTGGGGATGAAGTTTCATTGGGGTAAGAACTCGGTGCAGCAGAGACGAGGGGGCACGGGGAGGAGAAAGGGCCATTGAAAGGGGGTGAGAGGCTCGCAGGCCAGGCCAGGCCAGCCAGCCACCGCTCACTGGGAGCTTTCCACTGCAGGCGTCCCCACTCAGCTACATACACTGTTTATCTTCAACATGAATATCAATGAGGGCCTCCTAAAATACGGCCATTCTTCCTCCCACATGCAGCAGCCACCAGGCCCGAGTGTCAGCCCGCATCGGCTGCACGCGCGCGTCCTTGTTCTGCTACAGACCTGTCTTGTCTGGAGTGCGAAAAATCAGCTTGCTACCCCACTGGCCAACACTCAGCTCTCCCACAAACCTGCATCTATGCTGCGTGTGTGTGTGTCTGTGTGTGTGTGTGTGTCTGTCTCTGCTGCATCTTCAACCATGTAGGAATGGCTTCATTGTGTCTCTCGGGGGTGTCCGTCTCCCGCGGCTGTCAGTCGGCCTCACCGCACACGTACAGTAAATCCGTGTATGCCTTTGTCCTTTTTTCCCCCCACTATAGAAACTCGTGCTCCTACGGCAGTGATGTAATGCTGAGGGGCTTTGTCTGCTCTTTCCTCTTGGCTCAAGGTAGCCTTCAATAAATCGCCTCTTGGCGGAGGCCCAGCAGCTAACACAGGGGTGTATAATAAGTTCATTTATTTGTCAACACTGAGCCCACAAGATGAGAAAGCGCTCGGCTGTGCATGTTAAAAAGGCAGTGAGGGGCTGCCTTTACAGCTATCAAAGGGCCTACCTCTTTGATTCCACATAAAAAAAAAAGAAAAAAAAGGAAGAAAAATCTCCTTCAGAGCCTATTGCGTGCCGTTTGCTTTGCAATTGAATATGGCAATATGTTAATGTGCAGTCTGTTTCTATGCACCCGCTGCCCACTCCTCCAGCCCATAGGTGGCCCAAAAAAGAGAGGCATGCCTGTGGGCCGCGTGGAGGAGGGGGGCGGTGGGGGGGTTGACGGGAGGCAGGAGTTGAGGGTCACCGGAGGGCGACTCTTTTCTTCTTCCAAAAAACCTCACAAGACTCTGGACGCAGACTTAAGAGTGATGAGCGGCGACGTTGTCTTCGCGCCCTCTCCTCTCACCCCACCTCCTCCTCCTCCTCTTCTTCTTCTTTCTCACCCTGTCGCCATCCTGTTCATCCCATCTTCTTCGTCACCCCTCACCCCCTTCTGACCCCTGTCGCCCCCCCTCCTCCATCCAGCCGTGCTCTTTGTCCAGCCTGTCTTCTTGAATTGTTATCAGCAGAGAGGGAATGGATGCCGGCTCTGCCTCAATTGGGTGAAATGAGGTGATGACTCTGGACAATGGAGTCACACTCTTCTGCCTTCCCTCATGCAGGTCCGCCACTCTATTAATATGCTAAAAGATAGGAGGGCCGCCAACGCGAACCGCTGCCTGTTGCAGCAACAAAGCCTGGGGCATGTGTGCCATTCACTGCCCCCCGGCTGAGCAGGCCATGTGTCGTCCAAAGGAGAAAGATAGAAGTTGAGCAAGAACAGGCTGAGAGTGTGTGTGTGTGTGTGTGTGTGTTGTGAGCAGAGAAAAACTCGCGCTCCCTCTGTCTGTCTTGTCTGTCTCCCTTTCGCCTCACTCTCCCCCCTCTATGCCAGTTGCCTTGCCTTTTCGGGCTTCTGGCCCGTTCACAAGCTGTCTCATTTGCATTATGAATGACAGTGAGGGGAGCTAACAAGGTTATTGGTCTTTGAGACGCACGCCTGTGACCACACGTGGAAAAAGGACCTACAGCAGTGAGCATTGGCAGAGGCACTGAGCCTCTTTATTCCTCCCTTTCCAAGCGCTATGGGGCTTTTTTTCAGCGAGCACACGATTTACTCAGGAGATGGAAGAAAAAAAAAGGGGCCGGGCTGGAGAAAAGGGGGGACTGGGGTGGGCTGGGGTGGGGTGAGGGTAGTTGCTTTTCAGCTCCTTTACAAGCCAAGTGAACCCCTCATTATCCAGGCCTCTGGTCATTAGCGAGCGCTGCGTTCAGACCCGGTACAATGGAGGGATTATTTATTAGCTGGATCTTTAAATCATATTGTCTCTGGAAGAAATGTACCTGAAGTCGTAAATGGCAAAAGTGTGACGTAAAAACGTCATCATCAGGTCAACATAAAGGACAGCACTTTTCAGTGTGTGTTCAGGTGGTTGAAGTCGTAGAGATGGATTAAATATCAATGTTGTGTTTATGATGTTAGAAATAAGATGGCATTCTGGATTATTTTCTAAAAGGTTAAAAGCTAACAATTAGCCATAAAATAGCTGTTGGAAAGTGTGGACTGTAGAATTATTGTAAAAAAAACTCAAAATAAAAAAAAATCAAAATGAGAGAAGTAGTCACAAACACACGGAAATAACTGAAAACTCACTCTTCTTTTCTCCTTTTCCTACTTTCCCAGATTTCAGATTTGCCATGTACCCCCCCTCCATGATTGCCACAGGAAGTGTGGGGGCAGCGATCTGCGGCCTCCAGCTGGATTCAGCGGACCAGTCACAGTGGGGCGAGGGTCTCACAGACCTGCTCGCCAAAATCACAAACACAGAAGTGGTGAGTTTATCTATTACTACCTCAGACTGTCCCCTGGTGGTGAAGCAGGAAGTGCCGTCTCTGTTTTACTGAGGGGCTAAATTCCTGTGTTTTTGTTAGTCACCGTTCAGCCGTTCGGTGCTGGACTTCCTTCTTGAATGTTTCTGACTAATAATTGAATAAGGAGTAGTTAATGTTCTCCAGTGTCTCTGCAGCATCAGTAACCAGTGGAACGACAGGAATTTAAACTTTATCAGCTGCTGCTGTTCATCTTTTATTTACTCTAAACGCGGTGAGATTTACAGATCCGTAGAGTTTCTGACACGAGTTTGACAACCGACAATGTCACGACCCAACGACCGCCGTCAGTGTAATTCAGCGATTCTGTACTTTTTTCAAACTGACAGACTTAGTATCCAACTAACGAGTGAGACTAGTGGATTTAATAGATAGTCTGTGACGTCGGCTCTTGGATGATCCAAGATTGAAATGTGTTTTTTTAATGAAGGTATTTTCTGCGCCTCGTTGCAAATCTGTTTAACGAGAAGCAAAGCGAATTAAAATGGTCCCAAACAGATAAATCTGCAACTTCCAGTACGATTTACAGCACAAAAAAATTATAAATATGCATCGCAAAATTGCTTGCGTCCATTGATCAAACAGGGCAGTGTGGCTGAGTCAGCCGCTAACCTTACTGCATAACTCACCTCCTCGTATAAAAACCCTCAGGAATCGAGGCAGGTTAAGAGCACGTACAGCGCCGTTCACTCCTGTCACTGACAGGAATGCTGGGTACAGTGAAGGCTGCGGCGCTGGGTGAACTCAGTCCAAACACAGGCAGGGCCTCGGCCGACTCCTGCAGTTGTCTGGCTTTCGTCACTCAGATAAATGGGACAGGGCTACGGCTAAATCTGGTTCACTGGGAGAGTGAGTGAGGTGGACAGAAATACAGGAACGTTATCAGCTTTATTTAGTCTCGCCGGGAGGTTTGTCTTCTGCCAGTACCTTTACGGGTTCTGACGTCGTGGTTCTAGGTAGGTAGCTAATCTGTAGAACTAAACTGTGGAATCTATTCTCGCCCCGAAGCAACATGATATCTGTTTATGGAACTTATGGAAGTGGTGCTGTGGTGGGACTCCCACCTCCCACCTGAAGTCCCCAAATCTCAGGTTGGGTTGTATGAAAAAGAGCGTCCAACAAATTTATACGGACTACTCTGTGGCGCCCTCTAGTACCTTTTTGGGCGGACTACTCTGTGGCGCCCTCTAGTACAACCTCTTTTTGTTTTTTTTGTTAATGGAACTCAAGGACGAGTCGTTAATTTAATATTTTATCTTCCTTTAATTCGAGTGGTCGACTTTTCCCCATTATATTTGTAGTTAAGACACCAGCACTTTTTTGTCCAACATTTTTGGACAAGTGTCAAGTTATCAGACACACACTGAGTCCACTGGTCCCTAACAGCCCAACAGTTGTCGGCTGCTGTGTCCCTTTAGTCCCAAAGCTGCTGCCTTGGCACTTGAGCAATAACAAACATGTTGAAAATGGCTTCAAGTTAGTAGCCGCAGACTTAATACAAACATGAACGTTTGTGTTCCTGTGAGCACACTGCACGGGGGACAGATCAAAGGCCGTGACACCGATTCAACGCCTCCGCCCCGGTATGTTAAATTGTCTCCCAAGACGAGGGGAAGTAGGAGGAGGAGGAGGAGGAGGAGAAGGAGGAAGAAAGTTGTTGAAGTGTGTAAAGGACACCGAGGGGGTGTCGCGCCTCCCTCGCGACAATCAACCCTCTCTCATCTCCTCCTATGGTCCATAATGCATCACTGCTGGAAAGCAGGGCTCCCTCTGGTGCGAGCTGTGTGAAGTCTCGCCCGGCAGCTGAGGAAAAACAAATAGCTGGCCTCAGCGGTACAGGGCCTGTGTGTGTTTAGGCCGCGAGGTCTTAGACTTAAGGGAATTAAGTCGCTCTGTGTGTCTCTATGATCAACTCCTCACATTCCTGGATTCAGACAAGCCATTGCTCTGGGTAAACACAGGAGGGCAAAGCAGAGGGCATCCGTCCTAATTCAACATATACATGAGGGGCTTTACTGCACACTGCGCAGCAGCTGGCCAACATACACACACACACAGAGAGAATCTCATGGTTTATAAGAAATTACATCAGACTTCTGCAGCACGTTTTAGCTGCATTTAAGGCCATTACTACAGTTTTTCACTAATTGAGCACGTAGGCTGCAGGATACTTTACACCAGGGGTCGGGAACCTATGGCTCGCGAGCCAGATGTGGTTCTTTTGATGACTGGCATCTGGCTCTCAGAGAAATCTAAGCTGGCGTTTCTTAAGACAATAAGTAATAAATAATTCTGCTGACATTCAAGTGAAACATTAGAGAAATCAGAGTGTTCAAATAATCTTTAAAATTATAGTTATATATTCGTGCCTTTGCGCTGCGCTGTGTTGAATAATTGGGTAAAATCATCAGCGTCTCATTGATAAAATTAAAATAATAAAATAAATTAATGATGAACCTGTTGTATTCAATGACCCTACGATAAATTAAGATTTTTCTTACGTGGTGTTTAATAAACGTGTAAATAAGACAATGGCATCGAAATCATCCAGCTCCAGAAAAGTCGCATAAATCGAAAGAACTATTTTATGTATTGTATAACTTCAGTATAAGAGCGTTATTTTACAAAAAAAAAAGAAAAATGATCAGAGACTTACTCTAAAACGATTGGTCTTCTTTAAAAACTCACATTTAGTTTGACTTTTTTGGCTCTCTCTGCTGAAAAGGTTCCCGACCCCTGCTCTACACCATAGATTCCTTGAAGCCAAACCTCACCCTCACCCGTTCGACAACAGTCACTGCAGAGATATTTTACAGTCTAAATTGGGTTTTGGCCATCGTCATCATCAGGCAGTTTGGTTGAAACGCTCTTCGAAGATATCCAACCGTAGAGGCAG